TAATAAATTTGCATTAAAAATATTTAAAAAATTAATGCATTAAATTTATCATTAATAATATAAATACTTGTAAAGCTTATAATTATGTAAAATATACAATTAATATAAAACATAACATATAAAACAGATCATGCAAGACTTTGAGAACATTATACTTTGTCAGATTCATCAAAAATAAAGCGTTCAAATCATGGTAATGATAATCCAGATAAAGGTTTCAATGGCAATGATTGGGCAGTATAGCCACGATTTTTTGTTGAACTAGTTTTTTGGATGGACTTCTTTTCTGCTTTTTCTTTTCTGCCTCTATTTCTGTCTAGAGCTCCAGAAAAAAAAGCCACAACTGCCTTTTAAATTTCGCTGTATTTGGTATCTTTTGTCAGCAAATTTCTTCGTATTGCTTAAACGCAGTCATATATCAAGTTTTTTTATAAACAAAATTATAAGAGTTAGCTAAATATAGCTGTTGTATATATCTGTATATGTCTATATATGTATTTCTCTCTCTTTGTATATATATATATATATATATATATATATATATATATATATATATATATATATATATATATATATATATATATATATATATATATATATATATATATATATATATATATATATATATATATATATATATATATATATATATATATATATATATATATATATATATATATATATATATATATACATAAAGATTTGGGCAGGATTAAAAAGTTTTTTCTTTTTAAAAGGAATGACCTTTATAAACTAAATTGGAAATTCAAAAAAAAAATAAAAACGTTTAGAAGGGGGCAATAATACCTAACATGCTACCTCTAAAAACTTATTTAATTTCAGGTAAAGATATTGCATGTGGAATAATAACTTTTTTTTTATAGCCATCAAAACTTGTGTCACGGAAGGAACCTATCGTTCCTTTCCTGACACAAGTTTTTAATGCCTATAACTAAAAACTTAGAACTCTACAAACAATGTCTTTTCTTAATATTAAATAGATATTTATAGTTAGTTTGTTAGGTATTTTTACCCCTTTCTAAACCTTTTTAATTTTTTTTAAATTTTAAATTTATTTTATAAAAACAATTCCTTTAGAAAAACACGAATTTTTTTTGTATCTCAAATCGAGCAGGTTTTGATTCAAAAATCGAATCAAGATTAAATCAGAATATGAGTTAAAACATTTTTTTATACAATATTTTTATAAAATATTTCTTTATACTATATATTTCAAAAGAAATAGAATAATATTAAAAACTCTTTTTTGGTGCTTTATGTAGTTTTAAACAATTGGTTACAATTTTTAACAATTTTTTAACAGTTACAATTTTTAACATTTTTTAACAGTTGGTAACAATTCTTAACATATAATTCTTAGCATGTATATATATATATATATATATATATATATATATATATATATATATATATATATATATATATATATATATATATATATATATATTATAATTATTCACCTCCCCAAGGCCCGAGGGGGCCACTACAGTCAAGAAGGCTACTCATTTTTTTTTTTTTTTATTTTTTTTTTTATTTTTTGTTGTAAATTGTGGTACAATTCTCTCTCAACTTTTTAACTCCGAAACAGGAACCTTGACAAGCAAGGCCGCTGCGCGGAGAACTTAAGTTGAGCGCGGTACTTCAAGGGACATTGTTCGAGTCGATCCCCAAACCTCTCGCTTACAAAGCGAGAGCTCTTACCACTACTCCACTACCACATATTTAAGATAATGTTTTACCTTAAATTTTTTTTACTTAACATCGTAATATCTTAAGGTATTATTTTGTATTTCATGTATACTTTTTAATGTATACTTTAAGGTGTTTATAATATACTATAAAAATTTCTATAAACTATATTTTAGCATTAGACTTATGTGTTAAGAGTACAGAAATAACCTGATGAAAATTATGATAGTGTTTTTACTTTTATTTAGTAGTCAAAATACCTTAATCACATAGATAATTATGATCACTTTTTCCAATCTTATATATTTTTTTTTTTTTTTATTATTCACAATAGTACAGAAGTAACCTGATGAAAATTATTTGTTTTTTTTTTAATTATGATATTGGTTTTACTTTTGTTTAATACAGAGACAGGTGTCTGCAGACAAGAATGTTTTAGTTCTTGATGTTCAATAAAATCTTGTAAGTCACTATCATAATTTCGTCAGGTTACTTCTGTACTCTTAACACATAAGTCTAATGTTAAAATATAGTTTATAGAAATTTTGATGGTATTTTATAAACACCTTAAAGTATACATTAAAAAGTATACATGAAATACAAAATAATACCTTAAGATATTATGATGTTCAGTAAAAATAATTTAAGACTAAACATTAACGGAATTAATAAGTGTATACTTTAGTCAACAAACAATAATTAAAACTTAGTAAAGTACTTGTTTTACTCAAAGCCAAATTAAAAATAAAGGTTGAATAAATATATAGAATAAAGGAAAATAAAGGTGGGGGGTGATGACAATGATGATGAGACCATATAAAATATAGCATAAAAAATACAATATATAATGAATTTTATTTAAATACATAAATTTGAATAAAATTTTAGGATGCATTAATATTTAAGCAGCTCTGGTCATAGATCAGCAAATTAAATCAGTGAAATTTTGTGTGATATTATGCTGAGAAGATCAAAATGCTAAATCACCCTCTAGTTCATCTATTTCAATATTCTTATCACTTTTATCTGAATTGTTATCAGAAAAAGCTTCAAATTCACTAATTTTATTATCAATTTGATAAGAAATATTGAGGTTATTATTCAGAGCAGTGGTATTGGAAGGTTCATTATCTGAAGTGTTCAACCCATGTTTTTGGCAATTGCTTTGAAAGACTGTTTTGGGCAAGGCGTCAATAGGCTTAGGAAAATAAAACCCAGTTTTACCTATGTAATCATAGTTATAGGCTCCATCAATAACTATTTCCCCTTGATTGATTTTGGACAAATAATTAAATAAAAGTTAAAATAAAATAATTTTAACTTCTCGAATTTTTTTTCTTTCAGTCCAATAGCTTATAACTAAAACCAAGATTACTAAATATACTGGATGTGATATAATGAAAATTATATACTTGAATGAAAGCATAAATATGTTTTTCTCTCCGTAAAATCTACATTAAAAACATTTTGCGGCATTCTTTTTAGTATCTTTGGCGAGCCATTAATGATACGCTTATAGTCCGGCAATAACTAGCCAGTTCTGGTTCGTCAGCTAAAGCCTTTAACTGGATCACATGTGATTGCAAATTGTCTGAAGACTGCTGCGAAATTCTTGATAACTTGCAAGATCTAGAATCTTCTATTGCTGATGGTGTTAAAATGTCACTTATTCACATTGCTGGTTATGTTACACGAAATAATAAAGAAGGAACTGATTATGAGCTTTTAGATCAAACAACGTTCTATTATCAGAAATATGGTCATTTTTCTAAATTTTTGGATCGTGGTTGATTACAAATTCCAACTAATAATTCGTGCCAATGAACATTTTTTTGTTTTGTAGTTTTTTAAATAGTTAAAGATCATGTATGCAGAAAATCTTTAAGTAGTATTTTTATGATTATATCAGACTATTATTTATTGGATATGGAAGAACATCATTGTGTAATATTGAGCAACATTAAAAAAAAAACTATGTACCACTGTCACTCCAAGATCTGGCAAAATACCTACACTAAAATTATTAAAAATCTCTTAAAAGTCTACTTAGTTGTCTACTATTTATAATATATTTAGTAAACTTTTTTATAAAAGATTTATAAAAGATTCATATAGTAGTTGTGTTTTTTTCAGATTTTGTTAACAGTTTTAATCAAAATTTACCTAATATTTTTTGTTTGGTTTAATAACATTTCTACTCAATATAAGAAAATATCAATTTCGTATGTAGCCAAAACTAAAGGTGAAATAATATAATTATGTAAATGTGTGAAATTTGAAATCAGATAAAGTTTCTTTGCCTTTTATTTACATTGTTTATTACTTAATATTAATTATTTCTTTTCGTCAAAAAAAAATATTAGGCTATACTGAGAATTAAAATTACTTTTTAGTTTTAAAATTACGAAGTTATTATCTTTTTCGTCGTAAAAAAGTAGGCCTCCACAAAAAAATCCGGTTGCGCGATGAATAGGCCTGTAGTAGAGAACACAATGTTTAAAACGCATATTGATTTCCTGCCCCAACCAAATCCTGACCCAAATCATGTACATTTAATTCCCATATACATTTAATTTCGCCATTTTGTCAGTAGAGATGTATGTACATTTAATTTTGCCGATCCCTATTTGTCAGTTAATGTATGTACTTTTAGTTGCGCCGATTCCTATTTGTCAGTCGATGCATGTACATTTGTAATTAATTTTAGAAAAATAGAAAACGACAATAAAACCCGTGTCGCGTAGTTAAAAAATTAATTTCTTAAATTTTGAAAGCAGTGCTAAAATGTTTTTAAAGAGATGGTGGAATATTAGCGTTTTTAATGTGGATTTTTATACTTTAACATTAAATTAGAGTACTTCCCTCAAGTTTTCAGACCTATGTTTTTATTTGACTTAGAATCAGTATCATGTGTTCTATAATAATCAATCATAAAAACAGAGGGGGGGGGAGTAAAAAAGTCAATTAGTGGCCACTCAATGTGCCTATAGCTATATAAATCAGTAGATGTATACAGGGCCGGCGCGAGTAGGTGTCACGTGGGGGGGTGCCATTATAACTTTTGCCGCCAAATAAAAAAAAAAAAAAAAAGATCCTTGTTTTCCAAAATTTGCCGACTGCCATTACGACATTTGCCGACTGTCTAACCTATATCGAAAGGGTCGACATTTGCCGACTAACTAGTTTTAAAAGGTCCGATTTGCCGACTAAGGGTCCAGTTTGACAACTAAAAATCATTGATAGGGGAAAGGGGGGTGTCACACCCCCCACACACCCCTATCGCGCCGGCCTTGTATGTATATACGCTATCTCTGTATATCCCAATTTGCCTACGTCAAAGATGTTCAATTTCGTAATAAAGGTTTGAAAAGAGAGACTACCGTAACTTGGGTGATAAAAAGAATAAATAAATAAATCTAACATGCGGCTTTTTTAAAGTAAACAACAAAATCTTTATCCAAAGATCAAAAATTCAATATTGAATTGTTTGTAATCATGTAAATAAAAATCAATAGGTAATAATATACTTTTAAAAATTCTTAGATTTAAATTGATTAACTTATATTTTCATTATTGATGCTCACCTATTTCTAATTTTAGTACCTTTTTGTTTTGTATTTGCTGACTAAGTCTGCAAAACAAAAACAAAACAATAATTTTACAAAAGTCTGATACTTTTGTAAAATTCCTTGTTAATGCATCAAAGTGTACGTTAAACCTATTTTATTAGCAAACATATGACAACTGTATATAAAAAAAAAAAAAAAAAAAAATTTAAATGATCATCATTTTATCTACCGAATTCATTATAAAACCATGCAGTATAGTCTAATTTTTTAATGTTAAATGAAATCTCTTTCTTATTTTTGTTTTTTGGAATAATTTAATGTATTCACATTTTTTCTCTATAACTTATTGTATTTGAACTAATAGGAATAAAATGATGGTCGTTGTTGTTTTGGAACTGTTCTTGTCAATTCCATTAAAAGTAACTTAAAACAAATGCCTGTTATTTTGAACTTACACAAAAAATAGATCAACATTCAAATCTGTTTATGTTATATTTAACACCCAAAATCTGCCCATTAGATACTTGTTTTGAACTTTTTTAACAAACTACTATTTTAACAGTTGCACAAATACCATCACAGAAAGATTTGTCATTGCTGGTAGCAAAAAATACTCATTCATCATTTAAATCAAAGTCTATGCTGTGATAAGATAAATTGAAGGATAAGTTTTGAAAGTTTTAAAGTTACATTGCACAGCCATCAGAAAAATACTTCCCACGTGATACAAAAAAACCATGTGTCATGATTATATTCTTCTAAAAGGTAATAAAAACATTTTTGTTTGAGAAATGTTTTTTCCTAAAAATAAATTACTATTGTAAAAAGTGAACACTGAATTTTTGCAACAGTGATAATTAAAAGTTGAAAATTAAAAATTTATTTTTATTACATAATTACAAAATATTGTTATTAGTTTTTTTTATTGTTGACTAAATTTTGTGTCTTGTTTCATTAAGTATTTTATGTCTTGTTTTATTAAATTTTTATGCTTTGTTTCATCAAATATTTTCTGTAATAAAGAATATACATGTATGTATCTTTATTACATATAATACATTTGGAAATATTATTGATGCTATGTTGTATACTAAATTAAAATATTCTTAGAAACATTTTCTATACAAAAGCAAACATTTAGGAAGGAGTCAGAAATTGCGATCCTGGAGATTATCCCATAGATATTCAGCAAGCTTTGGAAAGATCTATAGAGTTTTATAAGTAAATATATTTATTTTTACAACTTTATTTATTGGACAGAAATGATCTATAACAATCACTAAATTCAACTCTTGTATGAATTCATCATCAAATTAAATATTTCTCACATTATATCATCAATATAATAAATCAATTTTGTCATCATCATCATCATCATCATCATCATCATCATCATCATCATCATCATCATCATCATCATCATCATCATCATTATATTCTCAATAAATTTTTTGAGGCCAGAAATAATATTTTAGTGTTTGGTTTTCATAACTATCTGATATTATTTTTTCTTTATTTTCACGATTTTTATTGCTGTCTATTATTTTCATTGCATGTATATTTTTTTAATGATCATTGTTAGTTTTAAAACAAGTAGTTTTATTCTAGAGGCTGCTAATGGCAGAGAGTTTAATGACTAGACTGCATTTAGTAACCATGGTAATGCTCATGTTTTTCTTTGAAAATTTGAAATAGCTGTTCAATATTACTAGTGAGAAAATTTTAAACATAAATTTTTATCAGAGGTCAGTATAAAATTGTTTTTTATGTTTTAATTGTTTTTTACTTGTATTTGTCTTATAATATATACTTTATTTGATCATCTTTATCAAAAGAAAGGCTGTAAACCCTTTTCATTTGCAAACTTTACCATTTTTTTTTAGCAAAATTCTTGAAAAGTTAGATTATTACTTTTTACATTGAAAAAATATAATTTATAAATAATTTTTTTGTCTTTGTCTAAACAAAAAAGAAGCTTTACAGTTTGCAAATTATAAAAATACTTCATATAAAATAAATTAAAAATATAGGTGTAGATCAATATCAAAAAAAAAGATATCTATAGACAATTACCATATAAAAGAAGACCTTAAGTTTTTTTTAATTGCTTTTGTAGTTTAAAAGTATAACAAAAAGATTTAAGTTATTGCAAAAAAGTGAAATTAAAAAGGACTAAAATCAATTAAAAGAAGAGAATGTATACATACAGTAGCGTCCAAAAGTTTGTGAACAGGCAAAAAAATAAGGAATTTTACTTAAATTTCAGCACATATTTCACTAAGCCAACATATTATATACCAATTAAAAGGTTTCCAAGTTAACAATTATGTTTTGAGCAAATAATGAATATTTAATTACCATTTTAAAATTGGTTAACAAAATGGCGATTTTTGATAAGTTCAAAAGTTTGCGGACAATCTAACGCTTTTAACATTTTCACCACAAAATAGCTAATTTGTTGATTTTATAAACAAATACTTTGTAAAAATAATTTCAAAACTTTATATATAAGTGATTGAGATCATGGGATCTAAGAAATGTATTTCATCTCCAGTAATAAAAGTTGATCTTGAGATCAGTTCAGAATGGAAACTCGTTTCGTAAAACAGCACAGCTTTATGGAGTTGGTAAGTCTGCTGTTGGACAAATTATGAAGAGATTTGAGCTTACTAGATCTACAAAGAATAAAAATCTATCAGGAAGGCCACGCAAAACAACGCGTTATCAGGATAAAAAGCTTGTAATACTAAGTAAAGAAAATCTCCGTTTGACAGCTTTCGATTTAAACGTCCAAATGAGGCGTTTCTTTGGAATGAATTGTAGTATTTCTACTATAAAACGTTGTTTATGTCACGCTAATTTGTTTGGACGCCTAGCTAAAAAACCATTAGTTTCCTTGAAAAACTGTGACGCCCGAATGGAATTTGCATCAAAACATCTGAAGTGGAGTAGTCAAAAATGGTCAAAAATTCTTTTTAGTGACGAAAGCAAATTTATGCTGTTTGGATCCGATGGAATCAGGTATGTTTGATGTCCAGTAGGTCCTTTTTAGTGATGAAAGCAAATTTATGCTGTTTGGATTCGATGGAATCAGGTATGTTTGATGTCCTCTTTACGTCTTCTTGGATTATTGCTTACTACTGACCTTTCATGGAAACCATATATACAATCGATTGCTAAATTAGCTTCTGCTAAGGTTGCTTCTCTTTATCGTGCTCGCCATTTCCTTACTTCTGATTCCATTCTCTACCTCTACAAATCTCTTATTCGTCCCTGTATGGAATACTGTTGTCATATTTGGGCTGGTTCTTCTAACGATTCACTTTCTCTTCTTGACAAGGTCCAAAAACGCATTGTAAATGTTGTTGGACCTGGACTCTCTGCTAAGCTTGAACCTCTTTCCCATTGTTGTAAAGTTGCATCTCTTTCTCTTTTCTACAGATATTATCATGGTCACTGCTCAAAGGAGTTATCATCTCTTGTTCCATCAACTAAAATTCATTCTCATTTTACTCGTCATTCAGCTAAGTCTCATTCGTTTACTGTATCTGTCCCTGCATGTTCTAAAAACTTTTATTCATCTAGTTTTTTTCCCCGCACTTCAATCCTTTGGAACTCTCTCCCATCTTCATGTTTTCCTGACTCATACAACCTTCAACTTTTCAAGTCTTCTGTCAACCGTTTCCTTGCTCTATAACTCTGTTCTTTTTTTTCCTAGTAACTCCCAACTTGATAGTGGTTGCTTGCAGCCTTGTTGGGAGTGAATGCAAATAAAAAAAAAAAAAAAAAAAAAGGTACTAGGTACAATCCTAAATACCAACTGCCTACCCTAAAACATGGAGGAGGTAATGTAATGGTTTGGGGATGTTTTAGCCGAAATGGAGTTGGTCCTCTCCATAGAATTACCGAGAATATGAATCAAGAAAAGTACAAAGATATATGTAAGACTATTATGTTACCATATGCAAAGGATAAAATGCCTCGAGGATGGATTTACCAACAGGATAACGATCCCAAACATACAGCTAAATCGGTTTTAGAGTTTTTTAAAGAGAGTAAAGTTAATGTTTTGAAGTGGTTATCCCAATCACCTGACTTAAATCTTATTAAACATCTATGGGAACATGTTGACTGTCAAATGAAAGGAATTAAGCCTAAATTATGCTGATTTATTTAATAAAATAAAAGAATTATGGGACTTAATTCCCATTGACGTTTGCATTAATTTAGTTGACTCTATGCCTCATAGATGCCAAGCTATTCTTGATTGTAAAGGATATCCTACAAAATACTAATGTGATTTTGCTTTTGCAAAAATTTTGATCAAATATTGTTGAAATATTTTAACTATTTTAAAAAATAATGCTTTGTCCGCTAATTTTTGAACTTATCAAAGATGGTTGATTTGTATACCAATTTAAAATATTATTTAGATAATAATTATTTGTTCAAAACCCTTATATGCAGAACCTTTTTCAGTTATTTATGCGAAATGAAACAAAGTATTTTTTTCCTGGATATATTCTTGTAATTAAATTCATCATTTAGCTCATCAAAATAGCTCCAACTTTCAGGCTATTCTTTTCCCCATTTAATTATTTTTTTGTTTTTTTTATTTTTTAGCTTTCAGCTTACGAGTTTTTTTTTTAATTCTGTTTTCTGCTTTTAGGCTGTTTTTTTAACTTCCATCTTTTATGGTTTTTTTTCCATCTTCCAACTTAAAGGCATTTTTTCTTATTTTTTGTGCGGTGACATTAATTTTTAAATGTTGAACTTCAAACGGTGGACTGATGAAAGGGAAAAAGGTAAAATAATGGAAACCGGAATTAAAAGTCCTGAAAGGTGCATGCTGGGAAAAAAAAGACTTAAATCTGAAGGCTAGAATAAATAAACAATCCTGAGAGTTGGAAGCTTGAAAAGAAAGAAAAAAATACCTGAAAGCTTTCAGTTTTCAGGGTTTTTTCATCTACCTTTCAAGACTTTTTTTTCTGGCTTCATTTTTCAGGGTTTTTTTTTTCTAGTCTTCAGCTCTCAGGCTTTTTTCCCAGCAGGTTTAGGATTTTTTTTCCCCTGTTTTATTCTAGCTTTTAGCTTTCAAGAATGTGTTTTTTTTCAAGCTTCCAGCTCTCCGGATTGTTTATTTATTCTAGCCTCCAGCTTTAAGGATTTTTTTTCGCAGCATGCACCTTTTAGGACTTTTAATTCCAGCTTCTATTTTTTTACCTTTTTCCCTTTCATCAGTCCACTGTTTGAAGTTCAACGTTTAAAAATTAATGCCAGCGCACAAAAAAGCACTGGCAGAATGGTCAATTTTAACTTAGCCTACGCAATTTTTTTTCTGCTATTTAAATTATAATAAAATAGAGAAAAAGTGTTTTAAATAAATACCAGATAAAATAATTTTATAAAAATCTTGTAAAAGAAAGGCCTTATTTCAAAAAAATTAAACAAATGAACAAAAAATTTTTTTAACAAGTGCTTTTTTATGGGTTTGCCAATGTTTTTGCGAGCGTGTGAGCGAGCGTAAAAGGCTTCAGCGCAAATGCGCTGGCAAAAAGGCTGTTTCATGTCTCAGGTATTTTTATTTTTCGAGCCTCTATTTTTTAGGCTTTATTTTGTTTTTTCCAACTTTCATTTTGAAGTCTTTTTTATTTTATTTTTCCACCTTCCAAATTTAAACCTTTTTTTTTTCAGCCTTCAGTTTTGTAGCTTTTACTTTTCAAATTTCGATTTTTTTGGCTTTTTGTTTTCTTTTTTTTTTTTAGCTTTTAGCTTTCAGGCTTTATTTTTTTTTTTAGCGTCCAGTTTTAAAAAAACAAAAAAAAGCTATTTTTAAGGATTTTTTATTTTATTTTTTTACCTTTAAAATTTAAAACTTTTTTTTTCAGCCTTCAGTTTTATGGCTTTTATTTCTTTTTTTTTTCAAACTTCTATTTTTTAGGCTATATATATTTTTTTTCCAGCTTCTCGCTTTCAAATTTTTTATTTTCAAGCCTTCAGCTTTTAGACTCTTGTAGGCTTTCATGGTTCAGTTGTTTTTTAACCCTCTTTAAGGTTTCAGGCTTTTCTTTTAAGCTTCCATTTTTAAAGCTTTTTTTTTTTTCCAGCTTCCAACTTTTATTCTTTTTTTAGCTTCCAGTTTTATGGCTTATATTATTATTCGTGATTTTAGGTCTCAGGGTTTTTTTTTTAAGCCTCTAGTGTTCAGTTTTTTTTTTTTTTTTTTTCCAGTTTCCTATTTTAAGTTTTATTGTTTGTTTTTTTTTGTTTGTTTTTCAGTTTGAAACTTTTAGGTCTTTTTTTCTAGCCATTAACTCCATGGCTTGTTTTTTTTATTTTAGCTACCAGCTTGCGGGCTATTTTTTCCAACTCTTACCTTTTAGGTTTGTTTTTGTTTTCAGCTTCCAGCACTCAGGCTTTTTTCAGCTCTTAGCTTTTAGGCTTTTGTTGTTTTTTTCAGTGTCCATTTTATTATGTTGTTTTTTTACTGCTTTCAGCTCTCAGGTTTTTTTTTTTTTTAAGTTTCCAAATCTCAGGCTTTTTTTTCTTCCTATTTTTCATGCTAAAATACTAAAATCCAGAAACATAATATTCTGCAGATTTAGCAATTCATACCATTTTTATAAAAACAAGCTTTTAATATATATATATATATATATATATATATATATATATATATATATTACACTAAAGTTGTGCTATAAAAATGTAATTAATTTACTGCACTACTGCAGCTTTTTTTTATGCACTACAGTAGTGTAATAGTAAAATAATACTACTATATAAATATACTAATACAGTATATTTATATAGTAGTCCACTTTATAAATATACTTGTACTATTTTTTCTTTTTACTTTTAGTTTGAAATCTTCTTAATTAATGATGTAATGGTGTAGTGATTTGTAAGTGAGAGGTTATGAGTTTGATTTCCACCATGTTCCTGGTTACACTACAATCAGCTATAGTTGAAAAAGAAGTCTATATTTTATAAACAAATTTTTTTTTTACAAGCTGTAGGTTTTTATTTAATATTTAATGCGTAATTTTAATTTTTATCACAGGTTGTTTTGTACTCATGGTAACATAAGTACAAAAAGTTATGGTAACATAAGTAAAAGAACCAAAATTTAAGCATACCAGTAGTTACATATAAGAACTAAAATTTAAAATATTTATGCACATAAATTTGCTGTATGGTCACAAACAATCAATCAACACTTAAGGGAAAAATAAGGTACATTAGAATAAAAGGGATTTATTTTTCAAACAAAGCATATTTTGTTGGTTGTCAAGACAAAAATAAAGATTATTAGATGAATATTCAAAAATATACAAGTACCATGGCAACAATAAGACAGACAATGCTCTCAAACAGTACTTACAATTAAATTTTTTATTATTTTTTTTCAAACAAAAATAAACAGATATACAACAAATATCACCAAACCACAACTTATAAAACAAAAAATTTAATACAAAATAAAAAGTATGTGTACAAATATTTAAAGCCTAAGAATGAAAAAAATTAATAAATAAATCATTTACCACACCACTGGTAGAAAACATGAACTCACAATAAATTAAAATTCTAATGAAAACACCAAAGCAAAACTAAAATAACTCAAGTATGTAAACAAAACTAATAATAAATTTCTCTCTAAGACAATTAAAACCAAATATGTGCTTCCAGCATAAGTAAACCAAAGACAATAAAATTGCAATATACCCTATTAAAAACCCTTTCATAATAAATAAAACACAATAAGTCTTATAAAGTCAATAAATTCTGCAATTCCTTCTTCAGATGTCAGTGTTGATGGGTACTATCCTTTGAATCATAAAGACTCCAATAGTCACATGCTAGGTTTAGGGGTATACATATGCATTAATTCCCCTATTTGTTGTGAAATCAGGTTCAAATCCTTTGACCATTCTTTTATGTGCTTTCGCCTAGCACCTCTTCACTCTATCACCTTTCTCTTTGTTCTTTATCATTCTCCTTCTTCCCATGATTGCACTCTTTTAGATGTTGTCTCTGATCAAATTGACCATGCCCTCTCTCTTTACCCCTCTGCCAATATTGTTGTTGTTGGTGATTTTAATGTCCATCACACTGAATGGCTTGGCTCTAACACCACTGATCCTGCTGGCACTAAAGCCTTTAACTTCTGCGTTTCTCAATCTCTTACTCAGATAGTTAATTTTATGACTCGTTTTCCTGACAACCCTAATCATTTACCTTCATTCCTTGACTTATGTCTTGTCTCTGACCCTAGCTTATGTTCAGTTTCTCCCTTTTCTCCCTTAGGTGGTTCTGACCATGCAATGATCTCTATAAATTTTTCTTCTCGCACTTCTTTTTTGGGCTCACCTTATCATCGCACCACCTACTACTACCCTAAAGCTGACTGGGATTCCTTTCGTGATTTTCTTTGTGATGGTCCTTGGGCTGATGTTTTTTCTCTCTCAGCTGACAAATGCGCTTCTTACGTAACCTCCTGGATTCAGGCTGGAATGGAAGCTTTTATTCCTTCGCGTCCGTTTCAAGTCAAGCCTCATTCTACTCCATGGTTTTCTCCTTCTTGTGCGGCTGCTATATCCAATCGTAATCATTTTTTTCATCTTTTTCAAAAGAACAACTCTCTTGAGAACAAATGGCTATTTATTATTGCAAGAAATCGATGTAAAAAGGTGCTTTCTGATGCTAAACTCCATTATTCTCAGTTCACTAAATCTTGCATCTTATCGCAGAAGTTAGGCTCTAAAGACTTTTGGAAAATCTTCAACAGCATTATTAACAAGGGTAGATCTAACATTCCATCTCTCATTCATGGGACTGATCTTATTACCTCTCCCAAGGATAAGGCAGAACTATTTGCAAAGAACTTTTCTTCTAATTCCACTCTTGAATCTTATGGACATTCTCTTCATTCTATTCCAGTCAAGCAGGTTGACTCATTGTCAGACATTCAAATCACTCCGGCTTCTGTTGCTAAAGTCATATCTCAATTAAACTCGTCTACAGCTTGTGGTCCAGACAACATTTCTGTCACAGTCTTGCAGAATTGTTCTCCAGAACTTTCTTTAATTCTATCTAAACTATTTAACAAGTGTTTGACTGAGTCTTGTTTTCCTGCTTGTTGGAAAATGGCATCTGTGGTTCTAATATTCAAAAACTCTGGAGAAAATTCTGACCCCTCCAATTATCGTCCAATCAGTCTTTCTGTTAATAACAAGGTCTTTGAGTCTTTGATCAACAAATTCCTCACATCTCATCTTGAGTCAAATAAACTGCTGTCAGACAATCAATACGGTTTTTGATCCTCTCGCTCTACGGCCGACTTGCTAACTGCTGTAACTGAAAGATTTTATCGTGCATTAGATGGAGCCGATGAGGCTAGGGCTATTGCTCTCGACATATCTAAAGCTTTCGACAAAGTTTGGCATGGTGGTCTTCTCCATAAGCTTGCTTCATATGGTGTTTCTGGGAAAGTTTTTGAGATTATCAAATCATTTCTTTCTAACCGGTTTATTAAAGTCATCCTTGAAGGCCAACAATCTTCTTTATTTCCATTAAGTTCTGGGGTTCCCCAAGGTTCCATCCTGGGCCCTGTTTTGTTTCTTATCTACATAAACGATCTTCCTGACGACCTTTCATCTAAAGTAGCTCTTTTTGCTGATGACTCAACTTTATACTCCTGTCTTGACAAAAAGTCTTCTCTTTTCAATCGCCTAGAACAAGCAGCTAATCTTGAATCCGATATCACTTCAGTAATAGATTGGGGTTCACAGTGGCTTGTGAATTTCAACTTTAAAAAAACCCAGTTGCTTACTGGAAACAACTACCGTAATATGGTCAACATTCCTATATTAATGAATGGCAATCCTCTTACTGAGTCGTCCTCTTTATGTCTTCTTGGATTATCGCTTACTACTGACCTTTCATGGAAACCATATATACAATCGATTGCTAAATTAGCTTCTGCTAAGGTTGCTTCTCTTTATCGTGCTCGCCATTTCCTTACTTCTGATTCCATTCTCTACCTCTACAAATCTCTTATTCGTCCCTGTATGGAATACTGTTGTCATATTTGGGCTGGTTCTTCTAACGATTCACTTTCTCTTCTTGACAAGGTCCAAAAACGCATTGTAAATGTTGTTGGACCTGGACTATCTGCTAAGCTTGAACCTCTTTCCCATCGTCGTAAAGTTGCATCTCTTTCTCTTTTCTACAGATACTATCATGGTCACTGCTCAAAGGAGTTATCATCTCTAGTTCCATCAACTAAAATTCATTCTCGTTTTACTCGTCATTCAGCTAAGTCTCATTCGTTTACTGTATCTGTCCCTGCATGTTCTAAAAACCTTTATTCATCTAGTTTTTTTCCCCGCACTTCAATCCTTTGGAACTCTCTCCCATCTTCATGTTTTCCTGACTCATACAACCTTCAACTTTTCAAGTCTTCTGTCAACCGTTTCCTTGCTCTATAACTCTGTTCTTTTTTTTCCTAGTAACTCCCAACTTGATAGTGGTTGCTTGCAGCCTTGTTGGGAGTGAATGCAAATAAAAAAAAAAAAAAAAATCCCACATAAAATCCCACATAAAGAAGATGTCCTCTTTCATTCATGGTCAAATCACAGTATCAGTATAAGGTAATATACTCTCAAAAAAGGCATTTGTTTTTCAAACAAATGCCTTTTTTGAGAGAGCAGACAGACAGAGAGGGGTAGCTCAAAGCTTCTAGTCTAAATTTAATTGCAAATAATACATGGAGTAATTTAATTTGAGTAATTCAGAGAAGGCCATGATGATCATGATTACTGATGAGCAAAAGAACAGCTGTGAAGCATGTGGTTAAAGTTTTCACTCAGAAGCCAGAGGTCCGAGGTTTGATTCCAGCTCTAGCCCAAAAAGCAATATTGCGTGAACTTCTAGTTAAATGCTCTTCTGTGGTGCTCTTTAATAAGACCGTAAGGACTTTTCGGGAGCACCTAAATAACCTAAAAAAAAATATATTGATAGAGGTAAAAGAGCATCGTGGATTATTTGGAAAAGTTAATGTCACATGCAAGTTGTATAGCATTGTGTAAAAATGGTTACAGCAGTTTCTGCTTTGGTTTTAGGCAAGATGGAAAGAAATAGTTTAATATGTGTCTATCTGCAATATTGGAAGATTATGCCAATAGTTATTTATATTATTACAAATTAACAATATTAACACAAAGATACATTATAACACTCAATATGGAAAACATGCAAGGTATTCTATTAAAATGAATAAGGGTTTGTTGCAACAATCATTTATTTCATTATTTATTTGCTTTTTTATTTTTTTGTAAAAACCTCATAAATTAAAACTGCACATACCCCATTTTCAAAATTTATATATTGAGAATAAATATGAATATTGATAGCATTTTAACATTAAATTGTTTTATACTTTTCTTTCTTTTTTTTTTTTTTAGTTTATCTAAAGACCTTGTGCCTGTTTCTATGTACAAGTTTTTTGAAATAATTGATAATAAGTAATTTTATATATACAGTTTTTCAGGATCTGCTGCATATTTTATTGGAACACTATTCAACTAATTAAGTGGATGATTTCAGATAATGCGCATGTTGTCAGCATATTTCTTGTAAATCTGAATGGATTATTTAGATGGAACAATGAGGAAACCTTACTAAATGTTTCAACAATTATTAACTCATTGGTAAGTACGTTTTATAATTAATATTTTAATTGATATTGTTTCATATTAATTATAATATTCTTTTATCTCCTATATTAATTGTGATAATCTTTTATCTTGCATTATTTCAGAGATGAGGTTTTTCAAAACTCTAGGGTTTTTTGGTTCTGGGTACCCGTACTCGGGTTTGGCGAGTCTGTAGCTAATTACCTGGAACTGATACCCGGTCCAAGACTCGGCGAGTTTCGTGATTTGAACTCCTGGCCTTGTTTTATACGCAGCAGGTTGTTTTGTGAATCTAGTGAGCTTCTAGTTAAATGTGAACTTCTAGTTAAATGCTCTTCTGTGGCGCTTGTTTTGTGAATACCTAACTTTTCTAGGCAGCTGTATCTGATGCTTAATAGCATGCTTAGATAGGGCTGTATTTATATTATTATTAGGGAGGCCCACAGTCAAAAAAATTTAATAAAATTGACCGTTAGGTCAAAATTATCAATTAAAAAATTGTCGGGTAAACCTAATCCAGAAAGAGGTATTATATAATCAAAATATGAATTATATTATTCACCAATGTATTTTAAAACAATTTTCATTGTTTTTTCAATCATCATTGAAGAAGCTCCTTAAGGTATTGGAAGTGAGCACTTAATAGAAAATATTAATATTAAACATGAGTTGACAATTCTTAGCAGAAACGATGCTAATCTTACAACATTCCAATTAGCAATTGATTTTATGATAAGAAAGTTAAAAGAATATAATGGTAATTTAAGTAGAGAGCTATTAATGACAATAAATAACTCAAATAAATTGCCTTTAAAACCAAGATTTAGAAGAGCTATTAGATTCTCCTGTAAATGATACTATGCCAAAGAAAATTTACAAATTTTCAAACAAAAATTTACATATTTATTAAAGAGATTATTTGATAGAAATGAAGAACAACAAAATACACATTATGAACAGGGACATTCAACTGAAAATAATGAAAATACTACAGGAAGCGCATTAACATCAACACTAGAGGAAAAACTAAATAAATTATTCTATATTTTTTTATTTTTTCCATTTTTTATTAGATTCTCCTGTAAATGGTACTATGCCAAAGAAAATACAAAAATTTACAGATTTATTGAAGAGATTATTTGATAGAATTGAAGAACAACAAAATACACATTATGAACAGGGACATTCAACTGAAAATAATAAAAATACTACAGGAAACGCATTAGTATCAACACTAGAGGAAAAACTAAATAAATTATTCTATATTAAACACTTATAAGTATTTTAATTTATATTATATATTTTTTTAAAGTACTGTCATGTCGATTTGGTAGTTTAACATAAGTAAAATTATTCATTAGTATATTTAAGTTTGGCTTTGAAACAAAAAGTTTTATTTACCGAAAAATTTACCAAATCTATTTTTTCAATTGGAGGGAACACAAAAAATCCAATCATTCTATTGTTAAAGTTTCAAGACAAAAAGACGTATTAGACCCGGACCTGATCTTGAACCCTATAAATATTCATAGGCTCGACTCAGGCTCGTTAGGTCTAAAAATGCTGGGTTTTCCCAAACCCTACAAAACTCTCCCATAAAAATAAAGGATGATAAGTTATTTTAATCAACACTTTGAAACTTTTTCAAATTGCTACATAAAGTTTGACAAAACAGATAGCTTTTATAATAGATAACTGAATTAAATGATATATCCATTATGGTGCATTGGTACCATAATTTGTAAGAAACCCAAACATTTCAAACTGCGGACTCATATTTTTATGTAAATTTAAATTTTAATTTGAGTTTTTTTTGTAGTGTTTTGCAATTTAAAAATGATTTGGTTATACAATTGACACTTTTATTTTTTATTAGTTGTTTAATAAAAATTATTTTTTCATTAAACGAAGTCTTTGTATGTCAAATTATAAATATGTTATGAAATATAAAAATTATATATATGTGAAATATTGCATATAATATATGCATTACTATATATATATATATATATATATATATATATATATATATATATATATATATATATATATATATATATATATATATATATATATATATATATATATATATATATATGTATATATATATATATATATATATGTATATATATATATATATATATATATATATATATATATATATATATATATATATATATATATATATATATATATATATATATATATATATATATATATATATACCCATACATTAGGGATGTATGGGAAATGAGTTTTTCATCAAAAAATTATTCCAACTTTTTTAGATTTATAATTTTTTGTAAAAATATAAATCTATAAAAAAATTTTGTATAATAAAATTTTCACATAGATTTATAATTTTACCAAAACCTTTATTTGTTTTGAAAAAATTAATTTTGTATTTACAAACTTTTTGCTAAATTGGTTCTAAGTTTTATGGACTTAAGTTTCAAATGCCTGAATAAAAAAAGAGTTTTTTGCTTCATTCTTTAATTTCATAGTATGAAGATTGTATGTATTATCATCTCTGCTTTTTTTTATCAGATTGAAATCTAGTTTAGGATTCATAATTGTTCAGGATTCTCAATTGTTCAGATTTTCAGTTGTTCAGGATTCTCAATTGTTCAGGATTCTCAGTTGTTCAGGATTCTCAATTGTTCAGGATTTTCAATTGTTCTAGGTTTTTTAATTGTTCAGGATTCTAAATTGCTTTAAGATATAATTTTAAAAGTATATTTATCTGCTTTTATTCAAGAATAAAAAACTAGTTTTAAAATCTTTTTTACATTGCAGTAAGAAAAGTTCTTTAACAACCAAAGTATTTTAACATAAAAACGGTTGCTTCAATGATTAGTTGCTTCACTAGGTGGTTTTGAGTTTTTCAAAAACTTGGATATTAATTCACAATAAAAAATGACCTTAAATTTATCCTTTTTTTTTTTTTTCATCCTTATTTTTTCTTATTCTTTCCTCCACTTTCTGAGTGATTTTCCTTTTTTTTCTGCTCTGTAATCTTTTTGAACATTTCTTTTTTTTTTTTTTTATTTACCCTGAACTCTCTCTAAGTGTTTTTTCTTTTTTCTTTACTCTGTAGGTGAAGCAAGTCAGTATAACCAGAGAAATTATTCAAAAAAAAAATTTCATATCGAAAAAATTTTTCTGCTTTATAAATAAAAAATAAATTTGATATAATATTTTCTCACACAGATATTATGTATTTTGTTAAGATGTGAAAGAATGCTAACTTTTTAATATAAAAATATATTTATATATTTATACTTACAATTGTTAAAAACAATTTGCAAAATCTAAAAACCGATTGCAATATTTTATTTTTATTTTACAAAAATTTTTTTGGCATTTAATAAAGAATTATAGAAATAATTATGATTCACTAATTGTGGCAAAAAAAAAAACACTTTAATATCTTAAAAAAAGACTCAGGCATAAATAACCTCTGGTTTCTTATTTGAAACTTGTATTTAGTTTTTCAGATCATTAAATATTTTACATAGATAATGTTTTATTTTAACTTCTGATTTATTTTATAATGGAAGTTTTTAAAATAAGTAATTTCTAAAATCCAAATATATTTTTTTATTACAATTAATATGATTATTTTTAAAAATCCTCAAAAAACCTCTCAATTTTGCATCAAAACACTCTTTTAAAATATCTATTTAAAAAAATATAAAAAAGAAAACTACAAAAGCTAAATGTTTTCAATGTTATCAGGCCTCCATTCTGTCTTTATTGCATTTTCCAAGAAAGGCTATATGTTATGTAGAATGGTTTTTTTTATTTTATTTTAAATTATTTTTATAGTAAGTAAATACCATATTTTGATTCGTAATCCTTTTATGAGCTAACAAATAAAAACTTTTAGAAATAAAAAAAATTAAAAAAGAATTTGTTAAATTAGAAATAATCTTAAAAAAGGTTATTTTAAACTTAAAATTGTTAATTTCAATAATATATTATATAAAAATTTTAATTTTATTAACATTATCAACAAATGCAAGTTGAATGAATAAATTTTTTAGTTAAAAATAATCATGAAAATAATTATACTTTTAATGATTTCTCGTAAGTCATTATAATAAACGTAATTCTTTGTTATTAAATATGTTCTAAACTGTACAAACAAGTTCTACTGTTTGTATACTTTGGAAGTGGTTTACATAAGATGCAGTGTTATAAAAGAGATTTAGTGGTTTACAAGAGATGTAGTGATATTTAAAAGAATTTTTATTGTAGTATACAAAAGATGTAGGTGTTTACAAGAGAGGTAGTGGTTTACAAGAAATGTAGTGGTTTACAAGATGTCCGTTTTATATAAAGTACCCTTGGTTGCAATTTGGGTTTGATTAGCAGAAATAATACAACAGTTTATTGAATAATACACATACCGTTTATTGAATAATTCACATACTGTTTTTTTAATAATACACATATTAAACACACAAATAACACACATCACAAACACAAAAAAACAAAAAAACAAAAATATTACCATTAAATTTTTATCTTTTCAAATATTTGTAATCTCAAAAGTATACTTTCACAAGTTTAATATTACCTTTTGCCAAATTTACCAGACCTATTTGCTCTTTGTGAATTTAATTTAAATTAAAAAAACAAACAACCCAAATTGACTTCAAATTAATGTCTTTTAGAAAAACTCCAATTGTCATGTACTATACTTACACACAAGTTCAAATATTTGTCATGAATTCCAATTACTAATTGAATTATTTGTCACGAATTCTAATTACCAATAGAATTATTTGTCACAAGTTCCAATTACCAATTGAATTATTATATAGTTAGTTGATATAAAGAATTCCAATTTCCAATTACCAATTGAATTATTTGTCACTAGTTCCAATTACCAGTTAAAGTAATTGTCACAAATTCCAATTAACAATTGAATTATTTGTCACAAATTCCAATTACCAATGGAATTATTTATTATGAATCACTATTACCAATGGAATTTTTTGTTACAAGTT